TTCAAATAACTACAGGGGTATATCACTCTTAGACACCATGGGAAAGATATTCACAAAAATAACTAGCAATAGGTACATCACTCATATGAAAGAACGGGGACAGTGGTTTGAACAACAAGGAGGTTACAAAGAAAAATATGCAACAGCAGATAATATTTTTGTTTTACAATCATTAATTCAAAAGTATGTATCAAAGAAGAAAGGACGTTTATACTGTCTATTTGTTGATTTTTCGAAAGCGTATGATTGTATCCAGCACGATATTTTATGGTATGTTTTAATAAAAAATGGGTTTCATGGAAAAAGTCTGAAAGTTCTCAGACACATGTACAGTCAATTACAATCATGTGTTATGACAGAAAATTTTGATCTGACTGAAAATTTTGATTGTTCTATTGGCTGTCGGCAGGGCTGTATGCTCAGTCCGACAGCATTTGTCATATTTCTAAATGAATATATAAAAATGTGTCAAAACTTAGAAGGCATTTTTGTAGATGAGAGTTTGCCAAATATTTCTGTAATGCTCTATGCAGATGACCTTGTTCATGTAGCTGACACTGTACCTAGGTTACAGAGACAATTAAATTGTCTATCAAGGTTTTGTAAACAGTATGGAATGAAAGTAAATATGTCGAAAACAAAAATAATGGTATTTAGAAGAGGAGGTTACCTTAAAGAAACTGAAAAATGGTATTTTAACAATGAAAGAGTAGAAACAATCAATGGTTACAAATATTTAGGTATCATGTTTACACCAAAGTTAAAGTGGTCTGGTGCAACGGAATTGCTTGCTGCTCAAGCTAGAAAATCATGTAATATGCTTAAGGTAATGTTCAAAAAATGTTCAACTATTGAGCCAAGTGTTGCATTCAAACTTTTTGACAGTATGGTAACACCAATTTTGCTGTATGGGTCAGAAATTTGGGGCTATTATAATGTAAACTCAATTGAAAAGGTCCAAATAAATTTTTGTAAATTTTTATTGAAGTTAAGGGATAATACTCCAAATGCCACAGTACTAGGTGAAGTAGGGAGATACCCTATGGAAATACTTTATAAAGCAAGATGTATCAAATTTTGGTTAAAAATTATAATGATGCAAGATACAAGATATCCTAAGCGTGTTTACAGTATGCTATATAATCTAGATGGAGCAGGCAGAGTAACCTGGGCAACAAAAATTAAAGAGGTATTGAACAATCTAGGTTTTGGATATGTGTGGTTAGCTCAAGGAGTTGGAAATGAAAATTTATTTTTGTTACATTTTAAGCAAAGATTAAAAGACTGTGCATATCAAAATTGGTTAACCAGCACACAAAACTCAGCAAAGCTCCAGCATTATTGTATTTATAAGACTAAGTTAGAATGTGAAAAATATTTATCTTGTATTAAACATTTCAAGCATAGAAAAGCATTAACACAATTTAGATGTGGAGGTCATAACCTGCAAATTGAGGTAGGACGATGGGAAAATATTCCAAGAGAGCTACGTCTTTGTAAATACTGTTTAACAAATGATAAAAACATTGTAGAAGATGAATTCCATTTTATCATAGAATGCCCATTGTATGAGTTTTTAAGGAATAACTACCTATCAACTCTTGTTCATTATAATATAAATGAATTTTATAAATTAATGTCATCAAACAATGAAGAAATAATTTGTAGTTTTGCATGTTTTCTTTATCATAGTTTCAAATTAAGATCATTATTTCTATCAGATCTTGAATAATCATAAAAGTAAGTAATATTCATGATTAGGCCATCAGCTTCACCCCAAAATTTAGGTTATCGGTATCAAATCAGGGGAATAATCGCCATAGTGATTTTTGGGAAGGTTAAGACCTCTAGAGTAAGAAACTATGTGATAGCATTGCAACAATTGTAGCTAAATGGGTATTATCACCCATTTTTCAAAATGGCCGCCGGTGCACATGTTACAATATAAGAGTGAGTATGTCTAAGCACACTGAGATGCAGAAACTGTGACTTTAGGGTCTATGTTAAGGTTTAAGGAGTCAAGGATTTCATTTATGCCAAAATCTAAGTCATCAAGCAATTAGTTCTTATAGAAATCCAAGATGGCCACCAAAATGGGTGCCAAAATGAACACCTGTATGTAACCATTGATTTAAGCTCGAAGAACAGTTAAGAACAGTGATTTTGGAGATCATGTCATAGTTCTAGAGTCAAGGACTTCATTTATGTCTAAATCAGAGTCTTCAAATAATTACCTTTTCATAGAAATACAAGATGGCCACCAAAATGGGTGCCAAAACGAATATGTGACTATTGATTTAAGCTCAAAGAACAGTGATTTTGGAGATCATGTCATGGTTTTAAGGTTCAAGGATTCCATTTATGTCTAAATCTAAGTCATCAAACAATTACTTTTTATAGAAATCCAAGATGGCCACCAAAATGAATGCCAAAATGAATATGCAACTATTGATTTAAGCTAAAAGAACAGTTAAGAACAGTAATTTTGGAGACTCTGCCTGTTTTGTAGGGGCCAAGGATTTCATTTATGTCTAAATCTTTAGTAATCAAATAATTTCTTTATATAGAAATCCAAGATAGCCACCAAAATGGGTGCTGAAATGAATATGTAACTATTGATTTAATAAGCTAAAAGAACAGTAAAGAACAGTAATTTTGGTGACTCTGTCTATTTTGTAGGGGCCAAGGATTTCATTTATGTCTAAATCTATAAGTAATCAAATAATTACTTTTTATAGAAATCCAAGATGGCCTCTAAAATGGGTGCTGAAATGAATATGTAACTATTGATTTAAGCTCAAAGAACAGTGATTTTGGAGATCATGTCTTGGTTTTAAGGGTCAAGAATTTCAATTTTGTCTATAATTAAGGCATTCCTTTATTTTGATATCCAAGATGGCCACCAAAATGGCTGCAGTCACGATTTTGAGGACTGATTAAAATGTTTATTTTCATCAAACTCTTTCTGGTGTATGATACACTTGTCTTTGAGGAATTTCTTGTGCTTGATCTTCTCCATCCAATAATCTACTTCTTCGTATGGGCAGTCAACTTCTTTCTATAGTCAATGTTTATGATACTGAGCCACCACAAAACTAAGGGAAAGGAAGGCAAATTACAGTAATATTGCTAATGCGATGATTATACCTAAGATTTTATTACGCAAATGTTTATGTAATTGTTTTTTCTTATTTGACCTTTTATAATATTAACACTCTGGCATCCATCTTTAATTCTGATATTAATCACAGATTGTTTCATGGAATAGCTCTATATAACTGAAATTTTTGACCTCCTTAAAGTAAACATTGCTTACAAAATTATTGTTCTTGGTGATCTATGTGGTTAACTGGATAGTTATACGAATTCATTTTGGCAGCCATTTTGGAGGCCATCTTGCATATCCATATAAATAAAATATTTGTTAATTTTATTAAAGACAAAATTAAAATCATTGACCACACAAACTTGAAAAATCAAAAATTAATGTTCTAACTTCTCTATATGTTAAGATAATAAATCTTATTTTCACTTCGGCAGCAATGTTGGAAGTCACCTTGGATCCAAATGAAGGAATTATTTATAGTTTTAGACGTAACTGAAATTCTTGATGCCAAAAATCTTGACATGGTCTCAGATTACTGTTATAAACTTCTTTGAGCTTAAATCAACATTTGCTTGTTATTGCAGGCACCCATTTTGGTGACCATCTTGGATTTCTATGAAAAGCAATTATTTTGTTGACTCGGATTTAGACATAAATGAAACCCTTGACCCTTAAGACCTAGACATTGTCTTCAAAATCACTGTTCTCAACTGATTTTTGAGCTTAAATCAATCAGTTAAATATTCATTTTGGCACCCATTTTGGTGGCCATCTTGGTTTTCTATATAAAGTAATTGTTTGATGACTTAGATTTAGACATAAATAAAATCAGCAGACATGTGCTCCAAAATCACTGTTCTTAACTGTTCTTTGAGCTTAAATCAATAGTTGAATATTCATTTTGGCACCCATTTTGGTGGCCATCTTGGAATTTTTATTTAAAGTAATTGTTTGATGACTTAGATTTAGACATAAGTCAAATCCTTGACCCTTAGAACCTAGATATGGTCTCCAAAATCACTGTTCTTAACTGTTCTTGGAGCTTAAATCAATAGTTACATATTCGATTTGGCACCCATTTTGGTGGCCATCTTGGAATTTTTATGTAAAGTAATTGTTTGATGACTTAGATTTAGACATAAGTCAAATCCTTGACCCTTAAAACCTAGATATGGTCTCCAAAATCACTGTTCTTAACTGTTCTTTGAGCTTAAATCAATAGTTACATATTCGATTTGGCATCCACTTTGGTGGCCACCTTGGATTTCTATGAAAAGTAATTATTTGATGACTCAGATTTAGACATAAATCAAATCCTTGTCCCCTAAATCGTAGACATGGGCTCCAAAATCACTGTTCTTAAGTGTTTATGGCATAAACAGTAGTTACATATTCGTTTTTGCACCCATTTTGGTGGCCATCTTGGATTTCTATAAGAAACAATTGTTTGATGAATTAGATTTAGATATAAATCAAATCCTTAACCCCAAAAACCTAGACATAGGTCCTAAAATCACAGTTTTTGCATCTCAGTGTGCTTAGATATACCCACTCTTATATTGTGACATGTGCTCTGGCGGCCATTTTGAAAAATGGGTGATAACACCCATTTAGCTACAACTGTTACAATGCTATCACATATTTTCTTACTCTAAAGATCTTAACCTTCCCAAAAATCACTATGGCGATTATTCCCCTAATTTGATACCGACCAACCCCCCAGGCTGATGGCCTAGATGCCATCTATAATATGTGTACTGTATACTAACTAAAATGTATATGGGCCTAAGGCCTTAAATATATGAAATAAATACTATACTACTATACATTTTTTCAGTATAGCAGAGTAAACTCATATTAGATTAAGTTTAACATGTTCATTATTTGGCACTAGGTAAAGTGGATGACAGAGGAAGACTGGAGAAGTGAAGACCTGACAGAACTGATTGACTTGTTGAACAAGGTCAGCAGAGACAATAGGATGGCACAACAAGGCAAACAACCTGTAGATGAGAGCGACCAACTGGATGGATCACTGAAAGAACAGGTAATATTCAGTTCTATTTAATGAAGTGATTAAGAAGTTTCAGAGATGAAATTGCCATGATCGTTATGGCAATAAGTGTTAATGTTGATGCAATCTAAATTGTTTCTAGAAAACCCTAGCCAGTGGCACATAGAATTTATCTCCAATATTATCCCCCACATTCTGACACTATATGTTTTGCCTTAACCTTCGAATTTCCTTATGTGTAAGTAGAAGAGGGAGGAGTTGAGGGACTGAGGTATCTCATGGGTCAAAATGATTTTTAAAAACCTTTTTATAAAAGAGCCATATTTCTATTTGGGAATGTAGGGTTATAGAAAGGTGAGGTCTTTTTGGCCAGAAATATGGCATAAATAGCCAAATGTGGACTGCATTGATGGCAAATATGAACTGATCGGATAATGATTTATTTTTCCAGATCTATATGACTCTAGAAAGCATCCAGGAAGAAATGAAAGCAACATTTTTGCCACCATTACTTGGAGACCACTAAGAACCAGGAAATGCATTTGATTAGAACTTTCAAATTTACAATCTTCTACTTAAGAGGCATATACTGTTACACTTGCCAATTGGTGTAAAATCTGAACATTATTTTGATGCTTGAAATGCATTGTTTGAACATTATTTTGACACCCACCTTCCTTGTGGAGTGAGCTTGTCTAAAGTATACTCCCTGTGCACAATACTAGTACATTGTATGTAAAACCAACCAACATAAAGTAGAGCACATTTTAACCCATTGCAGTAGCAGCATATCTCATGTACATTCAATTAGGGATTTTAAAGCCCCATACATAGGTTGAAAATGTACTTTTTAGAAATCCATATTTGCATTTCATATTTACAACTTTCCATGCTGCTTTTAATCAGTTGTATATTTATAATTATTATCAATTACCTTGTTTTATGTGTAATGTGCAATATGTAATTTGATATTTACCTCAAGTGTATGCTTATTTGATATTAAACTGTACTGTACTGCACTGTACTGTACTGTACTGTACTGCACTGCACTGCACTGCACTGTACTGTACTGTACTGTACCATACAATGACATTGATGAATGAAAGAACTACAATAGCGCTATCTATCCCATCATGATACATTAATGTGTTGTAGAATAGTAGTGAGAGATGTAGTGCTACATTGAAGTGATATTATTCAACATTGTGAAATCATTCCTTGTTTTATGTGTAATGTGCAATATGTAATTTGATATTTACATCAAATGTGTGCTTATTTGATATTAAACTGTACTGTACTGTACTGTACTGTACTGTACCGTACTGTTCTGTTCTGTTCTGTACTGTACTGTACTGTACTGCAACCATACAATGATATTGATGAATGAAAGAAAGAACTGCAGTAGCGCTATCCCATCATGATACAATAATGCATTATAGAATAGTAGTGAGCGATGAAGTGATATTATTCAAAATTATAAAATCATTCTTTTATTGATATTAGATGCTGTTCCATTTTGTCCAAGATTAATCTAAGCCTATGACCTATGTCATCGGAAGCAATACAATTGTATATAAAATAGTATTACCATAGAAGTATACAATATTGCTTTCCTGATGATATATTCATGCCTTATGGATATTAAATGATGTAATTTCTCATTAATTTTACTCTAGAATATACTGTAGTAGTAATTTGAATCATAACCAGACAAGCTTGAAAATCCAACGATTATCATGTAATAGCCTACGAACTGTTGGCCATTTTACAAAATAGGCATGATTGTAGCATTGTAAGTTATTCTTAGGAAGTTAGTCGCAATTTGTCTCTAGTTTTTGTTTCATCTTAAATATTACTGTAAGTCTATAATTTTACATTCCATAAACCAATCGACAATTTAAATGTTGTCTATCAAAAGATATTTTTAAATGAATGATCAAATGCCTGAGTACATTTTCTCAGATTTCATTCTGCTCTAATTTTTGAATTTCAAAACAGCTGATCTTTTATTCTATATTTTTTATGAAACATACTGTATAAACTGATGTTGTTTTAAACCTTGTTTTATTTTATAACCATTTATAAAGTGCAATTAACATAATATATGTGTAATATTTTATTATAAATAATTGTTTTATATTTCTTTCTATTGCATATAATTCCAATTGTAATTTACAGAAATGAATTGAATTATTTCTTTTATGGACGAAACATATTAACACTGACACAGTGTACATTACTTCTCATATTATATATAAATCTCAGAAAAATTTCAAAAAAACAAAAATCTGAAATCTGACTAAAATTAAGCTAAAGGAAATATGTGTGGTGCTATTGCTATTGTAAAGTGACAGTCACAGTGCTATATTTAACAGGCTACTTCGCTGAGGGCTAAACCATATGGCAGTCATATTTGAGGTAACATACTGTAAATGTAAAGTAAGTAATGAAAAGTACTGTTGCCAAAAGTAGTTTCACTGAAATAGCCTCACTGTATAACCAGGCACACCACAAAATTCTACAGAATGGGCAATAATATTTCCCATTCTGAGTGAACACTAATTGAGTAAAGGTAATATTTTTTGGCACACCCTGTATGATATTTGCAAAATACTGTATTTTAGTCTGAATAAAACATTACCAGCTAATAATTGTAATTATTTTCACTGTACTGTTGTTTTAGTGTACTGTCTACATGATTTAAGGATTTAAGTACAACAATCTATCAGATGGACATACGCATGAGATTAATTGTAAACATAGTTTTAAACAGCCACCAGGTCATTTACATTTTTCAAGTACAGTTGCTGGCTGAATTCCTGATCTTGACACGTAAAGTGCATACCTATCTATGTGAGAAACAAGAACAGTGAAAATGGCTGAACTCTTAAAAGATCTCAAATAGAGGGGGGGGGGGGTGTATGGATACATGTAGTTAGAAATTGCTTCATATTACAAATTGTACAAATGAAGTCAATGGGAAGAAATAGAAAAATGACAATAAGAACACAATTACAATCATACACATACAATGTATTAAAAACATTGGACTAAAATTCATAAATTAATCCACAGCTGGTTTTAATGATTTGAACTACATGAATTCACATATATAAATTAATACAATTGGACAAAATATAGTCAAAATAAGCGTGGCATTTATAAAGTGCAATAAATATGTATATGGTTTCTATCCATTTTACATGGATGCATATACCTATGCCAAAATCAGAGGCTGTCATTATAAGGATTTAAAACTTTTTAGCCAAAATTGAAATCAGCCAGTTGCTGTGTCATTTTGTTGTATAAATGCTGAAAAAATCTTTAAGCTAAGCTTGAAACTATCTTGGCTGGTGCTAATACCTCCCACTCCAAGCTATATCTTCCACGATTGGCAAGAATATGTGGAACATTGTTTCAACATTTTAAGAAATAAAAATCTAACTACAGCAGCCCTACAGCTACTCATATATTAATATCATCCAAATTGTACAAAAGCATGAATAAAATACAAGGCAAAGTGGAAGCACAATATGTAAATTCTTAATATAAGGATTCTAATATTTACAATTATTGAGCTAATTGTCTTGGGGACACTACACATTGTACAAAATGTTACACACTGTGATGATGTCTCTCAAATATTGAGGACGTAGTAAATGAATGCATGAGCAGTATCTCAAAGAAAATCAATTTTAAACGTCCACATTTTAGCCACAGATTAAGAGATACAAGTATGGCTATTAAATACATAGTAATTTAATTTGCATATGCACTATGTAGAACCAACAAAAAGGTCACATGTCTCATTTAAAAAAAGCACAACATGGAAACTTACGAAACCAAATCTTATCGAACTACATTAGATAAATCTTGATATGACTTTTGTAATGTAAAACTCAAAGAAAATAACCTAATATGGACTTGTACTGTGATTCTCAGTACATAGCCAGTGAAAAGACAGTGGTCCTTACTTCAAGACCAAGTATTTTATATACTTCCTTTAATAGGGTAACAATGTAAACAAGGCATTAACATGACAAAATGTCACCACCTAAAACAATTTGGTCAATTTAAAGCAAGTTGAAAAATACCTCTTTGACTTTTTTTGACATTGAGAAGGTCATTGAAAGTCAAATGTCAAATGTAAAGTCAGATTTGAACTTCTGAGAACATGTAGATGATTTTGAAAAAAAAATTAAGTAAATTTGAAGCAAGTTGAAAAAAGACCTTTTTGACCTTGAAAAGGTCATTGAAGGTCAAATGTCAAATCTAAAGTCAGATTTGAACTTCTGAGAACATGTAGATGATTTTGAAAAAAAAATTAAGTAATTTTGAAGCATGTTGAAAAAAGACCTTTTTGACCTTGAAGGTCAAAGGTCAAATCTAAAGTCAGATTTGAACTTCTGAGAACTTGTAAAGTCAAATTTGAACTTCTGAAAAGATGTAGATGATTTTGAAAAAAAAATTTGGTCAATTTGAAGCAAGTTGAAAACAGACCTTGTTGACCTTTTTTGACCTTGAGAAGGTCATCAAAGGTGAAATGTCAAATCTTAAGTCAGATTTGAATTTCTGAGAACATGTAGATGATTTTGAAAAAAAAAAATTAGTCAATTTGAAGCAAGTTGAAAAAAGACCTTTTTGACCTTTTTTGACCTTGAGAAGGTCATTGAAGGTCAAATGTCAAATCTAAAGTCAAATCTTAAGTCATATTTGAATTTCTGAGAACATGTAGATGATTTTGAAAAAAAAATTTAGTCAATTTGAAGCAAGATGAAAAAATACCTTTTTGAACTTTTTTGACATTGAGAAGGTCATTGAAGGTCAAATGTCAAATCTAAAGTCAGATTTGAATTTCTGATAACATGTAGATGATTTTGAAAAAAAAATTTAGTCAATTTGAAGCAAGTTGAAAAAAGACCTTTTTGACCTTTTTTGACTTTGAGAAGGTCATTGAAGGTCAAATGTCAAATCTTAAGTCAAATCTAAAGTCAGATTTGAATTTCTGAGAACACGTAGATGATTTTGAAAATTTTTTTTAGTCAATTTGAAGCAAGTTGAAAACAGACCTTTTTTTGACCTTGAGAAGGTCATTGAAGGTCAAATGTCAAATCTAAAGTCAGATTTGAACTTCTGAGAACATGTAGATGATTTAGATAAAATTGAAGTCAATCTAAACAGTATTTGTTATGTTATAGGAAGTTGTAAGAAATTGTTACAGACGCCGGACGCCAACCGCCGGACACCAACCACCAACCGCCGGACGCCAACCGCCGTCGCAAAAAAACGGAGACCATAACAATATGTCACCACTTTTGGTGGTGACATAAAAAACAGAAAAAATGAGTATCGAAGACTACACAAAATATCGATCCTACAAATTGCACAATACAAAAACTGTTGTAAAAAGAAGTCTTTGTACATAAAGATACTCAGCTTATAGACTATAAATATAATATCATAAAAAAAAGTAACCCATGCCACTGACAAATATGAACTCATGTGTGTGACTCTTAAGGGGCAGCCAATTAAGGGACATTGTCCCTTCATTAACACACAATCTTGTAAACACTGTAAGAATTCAGGAATTAAGCCTTGTTTATAAGCAAATATGAAAAAGCCATAAGTTCTTAAGCACCAGTCTCCCTTATGTCATAGTTGGGTAGCACTATGCCCTGGCTGTAAAAGTGGTACATTGTTATGTGTTAAGTTGCTCATTTGATGTAATTGTTCATTTCTTATGGTTCTGTCAATAGGGACTGGGTATGTATCCACTAAATCTGTGGGTTCCTGACTGCTAAGCAATGGTACCACATTCCCCTCAACAGGATGATCGGGAAGTATTGCATTTGGCTTTGATGAGCCACTATTGGGTGAGACAAGACTAGCCGTCCCACTGTAACCACTATCTGGTTCTGGAGATTTAGGACTTATCAGCTGTGTGCTATCACTGAGAGGTGTCAATACAGTAGTGGGGCTAATGTCATCTACATCCACTACTCCAGGGGAACTTTCAATACGGAGGAGGTCCACAATTGACTGAGAGGATTTAACAGGTGGCCACTGTGGGAGCTCTGCAATTTCTTCCTCTACTGCCTCATAATGGTAGCGGTCATCACGGTTCATGCAACGTTGTAATGCATTCTGGCATTTCTGCCTGATGAGATTAGTGTCTATGAGGAAAGTCTGCAAGTACATGTAATACACACATGCATTTATTGCAATGTTCATGTAATACACATGTGCATTTATTTCAATGTTCATGTAATACACACATGCATTTATTTTAATGTTCATGTAATACACACATGCATTTATTTCAATGTTCATGTAATACACACATGCATTTATTGCAATGTTCATGTAATACACACATGCATTTATTTCAATGTTCATGTAATACACACGTGCATTTATTTCAATGTTCATGTAATACACATGTGCATTTATTTCAATGTTCATGTAATACACACATGCATTTATTTTAATGTTCATGTAATACACATATGCGTTTATTTCAATGTCCATGTAATAAACACATGCATTTATTGCAATGTTCATGTTATACACACATGCATTTATTTCAATGTTCATTTACCATGGGTGTCATTTCAAACTTTGTAAATATGGCACCATTCGGTGAGCTCACATGATGAAAGACCTAGTAATCTCTCCAAAATGACTCAAAACTGTAATTGAAACCGCCATAAAAAGCAATGTGTTCTTGATCAGGTGATTGGCAGTTTTCATCTGAACAACTGGAATTGTTGCCAAGTGGATGGAGGACAGACATACAGAAAGATGAGCTAAAAAGTGTCAGTCACATATTAAACACTTAGTTACTCATTCTCTAAAAACAAATTACTTTACTCACCTCAAGGAGGAAGCATATGAAGAAGTTTGCGACTGCAATTCCAGGATCAATCTGAAGGGTATAGAGGGTGGCGGTTGCAGCTCCATGAAGTCTATTATGAATTGCAGGGGGTACACTGTCAACCAGACAGTCACAGCTGTTAGAACTATCAGATTTGCCAGGAACCAGTCTATGTGGAAAAATAAATAAAAAAAGTCAATGCCTTAATTAATATACCTGTAAGCATATATACTATAGGGTGTTCAATAAGTATTGCTTAATTGTTCAAACTTTTGTCCTGTTGGTTGGTTGGTTAACTTTTACATTGTTCTGTCAAAATTTTCAACATTATATTATTTTAGACAAAAGTTTGAGTCCAGCACCAAAGTATACATATATGTTTATCTTATGAAATACTAGGGCATATGGTAGGTGATACATTCAGGCCCGTAGCCAGAGGGGGAGCTGGGGAAGCTTCCGCTCCCTCCCCCCCCCTGGCCAGAAATTCTTTCAAAATCATACAGTTTTTCACCATTCTGGGAATTTTTCGCATGATTTTTAGCCAAAATTGTGAAAAAGCCCCCCCCCTGGGAAAAAGCTCCCCCTGCTGGTAAAAGCTGGCTACGGGCAAGCATTGCTAGCTACAATGAAATGTGTGAAGTAATTTATCATTATCGATATAATAAATCTCTTGGTTAAATTGGAACACATCAATCTTGAATCTCATTGTAATTATAAACAAGGCATTAGTCTCTTGCTTCAGTCTGTTCTCCATGACCAGCAGGCCCAGAAATATAAGATCATTTTCCATCTGCTCTCTACAAGGAAAACAAAAATATGTTTGCATGTCCATTATTTATCTCAAAAATATAATAAAACTTGATTGCATTATAGTATCTCAATTAAAGTTCATTGTTGGTTAATGAGATCAGGAAAACGGAAAAGAGAATGGGTGTCCAAAAGGATGAATTTGGTTTTGAAAGGAATTGACAGAACAGGAATAAGAAACTGTAACATTTTCAGTAGAACAGTCCATCGCATGCCTTACCTCTGAGCTCTTTGTACCTTGACCAGGGACATCTTGGGCAATGGTTTATAAGCAACAGCTATCACCCTGTAGCCTTGCTGGGTGTATTGCATTAATACATCATGGAAGTCAACAGGAACTGAAAATACAAAATGTATGAACATTGATATTGGTAAAAAATTCTGCAGGTTTATAGATCTATCCTCATGCCTCCAAAGCTGCGTTATTCAAAGAAAATATACCAAGCGATGAATTCAAGAAGTTTTTGTTACGGAAGAACATGAATTTGCAATAAATCATCTCACCCTGTAATGCCGTCATCGAAGAACAGTTATCAACAAATTTTACATATACAATTTTGTAAGTACATTTTATTTGATTGGCAAACCTTTGTGTTATACTGTACTATATCTTTTGGGGCTAAAATGAGTCAACGAACAATGTTTTCTCAAAAATGTCACATACCTGTTTCCTGCCTGCATAATGAGGCCACCATCTCTGGGGCACCTTTTGTATAGAGATCAAAGTGTGTGGAGTCCAGTGTACGTGTGATCACTGACATGCGTTGTAGGCTAGATGAGAAAGTGAAGTGAAGCACTATGCCTATCTCATAAGGTATATTCTGAAATACAATTACATTGATTGGCAGAGATCTTTGAGGTATTTAAACTTTATTTACTCTTTGTGTTTCATGTCATTTCAGTTGGTTACCTCTTAATTACAAAAAACTGTGTAGAACTGGATGTAAGCATGGTTAACAGCAACAGGAGTTTGTGTTACTTTTTCCAAAAGTCCCTTTGTTTAATAAATTCACCCATGTAAGAAATGAAAATTATTCCACATCATTAATTCTAGTAGAATGCAATATAAGTGTTAGACTATTGTTCTAATAATGTTTAGAACATAAATAATTTAGAACATTTAACAGTTATAATGAAAAATGTTTTACGTACAATAGTGTGCTATATAAACACAAAGCATCTGGGGTTTTACGATCATGTATTTATGCTCATTATTATATCTTTTATTGACATTTTATATCAGTTACATGATACATTAGTCACTAATCACTACAAACTACTTCTACAACTATTCTAACTATTCAAAAAATTATTATACAGTGTGATGCACACTACTAAACATATTAAATTTAATTCTGAAACCATGATATATAAATTTTCCGATGTGTAATTGAACAGTCAAGTGTTCATTTGCCATTAAACTTTTAAAAATATATGGGTCATCACAATCAAAACTAGGAATAATTTCTTTTAATTTTGAGTACAAACATTCTCTTAGTATTTCATATTTGTTACATCTTACGAGAAAATATTCTTCATCTTCAATACAATTACATGTTGAACATTTTCTCTCATTAAGGGGTTTAGGGAAAGGTTTACAATGTCTACCCGTCTCAATATGTAACTGGTGTGAACTTAATCTAAATCTTGCAATACATTGCCTATACTTTCTATTATCTAACCTTAAGTATGATTCACATTCAAATTTGGTTTTATATTTACAATACGTTCTGAGTATAGGTGCACACATAATAGCATTTTGCCAGTCGGCACGATACTGTCTCATCAAAGTGTTATTTACATTTTTTTTAAATATTTGTCCCAGAATTCTAACATGCCACATTTTTCAATTATTTTGAAAACTCTGGATGCCCATGAGGGAAACCCAAGATTGTGTAACTCAAGCTCATACTTATATGTTTCATATAATATGTTAGTTGGGCATAGTCTCAGGATTCTAATCCAATATTTTATCAATTGTGCTTCAAATTTTATATACAATGGATATAAAATACCTGATGTAAATATTGCTTCAAATAAAATATTCTTATCTTAAGAAGTCTCTACATGAATAATTTAATGGGACAAAATTGATTACTTATGTTTAATCAAAAGTCAAAACAAGGCTTAAGATGCAAAATGTCACCACCTGCCATTTGTTACTGATGCCAGTTGCCAAAACCGTCCTCAAAAAAGTTGAAAACCATAATGATATGTTAGCACTTGTGGTGGTGACATAAAAACATTGCAAAATGAGCATCTTGAATGGTGAATGTCAAACTTACGTATTGTTGCTTTCTTGACCGTAAGTAGGTACAATTCCCCACATATCAAGGCCATCTTCAGTTAAAGTACCAGACTGAATACAGAGACACACAGAAAAATTGTTTCAAACAGTTTTCTCCAAAGCTTAACAGAAATATTGTATTAAAACATCTATAACAAGATGACAGTAATACATTTTACAGTTTGAATATTACTTAATAAAATATTAATGCAATATTTATTTAATCGTTTGTAATTTCCTCTTTCAATAAATAATAAAGTAATGAAATGATTTTATCTTGTACAAATTATTGTTTTTCATATGTTTCAGCTGCAAAATGCAGCAAAAAAGTTAAAAAATAAAAGCTAGTAATTATTAAACAGGTACGTGTACTGTATGATCTTTTTCAAAACATTTTGGGCAATATTACTATACAACAAAAGAATATTTTAAATTTCAAATTTCATCTCTTTAGTCTAAGATGAAGAGCTGCACAATTTCATCAATAATTTTAATGGTTGGACTGATGTTGGTGCCAATGGTATCGATTATGAC